AGTTAGTTGGTTGCAGTTAGATTACTAACACTAATTGTTATTTCAAGTAAACAGTAACATGTAACATTTAACAGCGCTTAATAGATTTTTAATTTGTAAATGCATAACCTTCGGAGGTAAAAGGTTCCGGATTCAACACCGATTAAAACAGGCAACTGCCTACCATAAAAAGAAGAATTTATTTAGATACGGGTTTCCATTTTATTCGTTTCTAAACGTCTACCTACTTGATTAACGTCTTAGACGAAGTGTTCTTGACTTTCATTCTAAACACAAAAAAAATGGTTTGCTACCTATACACTTGTGGCGAGTTAAAAAGCGAACATAAGAATGTTCGATTAGGTATATGAAATAATCAAAGAGAGACATCATTTTTTGCAAAATTCGTACAAATACTTCCACCCATTTTTTCATATTAAATAATAAAGTAATAATAGGTCCAATAGATGCAATTTAAACCTTTTGAAGGTGCCACAGTTTCTCACCCATTTTAAGCACGAAAAACCCTTGAAGATAAAACGACTGCTTTTTATACAATAATTCCAGACACCTGTGCAGTTTCTTACCAAATATTCATGAACTTATGTCATAATATTTTCATACAGAAGGACCTAACATGTAACTAATACGTATGAAAAAATCTCAGAGATGTGAAAAGAGAAAAACTTATTTTTTTACATTTTTTGTAAGCAGCAGAAAAAAAAAACGATTTTCTTTAATCGTTTCCACATTTATCCTTGAAGACTATATTTAAAACTTATTAAATCTATTTTTGCACTTTATTAACAATAAATTAATGGTATTTAATATAAGCAGACAACAGTTGTCGCTATGTAGCCAGCATATACATATATACCTACGTATCTACACACACTGATATACAACAAAATCACGAACAATTCTTTCGCAACAATATGTCATTATTTTTTATTCCTCGTTTTGCGGTAATGAATATGAAACAAAAATAGATTACATGTTCTCTGACTGATAACGTGACATTCACCTAGTGATAAAAGCGAAAGCAATTATCTATACAACGCATGTATTAAATATATATCCATATATGTACTATAAACTAATGCGTTTGTCTAAATTAACAATAAGATTTAGACTTTCCATGGTGCACTCTTTGTGTGAAAAGTAGTGAATAAATAAAGACAAGTCTCCCAACTTTAGGGATATGTTGTATCTTACGGTTAATTTAACAGTTGTATGTTAATATATGATTCTCTGACCACTTTGCATATTAGCTGGATAGTACAAAAACTGTCCAAATGTGTGATCGGGCACACGTGTGCGTGAACGGTTTAGTAATAATTTAATAGTGTTTTTAAGTTCTTTAATAATTAGTGTAAATAAATAGTTTTGTTTCATTACAGTATGTTCTTTAACTATCAATTATAACAAATGTATAGTACCTAACCTAATAGAACCATAAGTAAAAAACAAAAATTTTTTCAGTCTGAAGATAGTTGAAAACCAAAACGTTACAAAAAACGTAAAGTTGTTTAATTATTTGACCGCCACCCTAGAAGAACCACGGGATTTAAAAATACATTATGATACCTGATTAACGAACTTTCTTAATCTCAACACCTACTGATTACGAAGTCGTTTTGGCATGTAATTTGCCCTTTTCGTTTTGTCAAAATCAATACAATTTCAAAGTTACTTTATTGCCACAGTAAATTTCACGTTAATTATACGTATTTCGCTTTCGAAAAGATCCCGAAGCGATTGCCAGTTAGACTTTGTCAAAGTATTAAACTCTAAAGTACGTTAACACTGTAAACGTCGTACTTGATTTGGGCTAATGTTTAATTTTCCCTCTCACCGAATCATATTACATTTTGGCACGTGAAGCACACAATCTTTTAATACCCCCGATAAACTGCTAGAACGCCTACTTGTTTTATTTTTTCTGAGGAAAAGTCGTGTCGGGGTTGTAGAAATGTAGTCTGACGGAAACAATTTAAAAGGTTTATTTCGGATCAAACTGTCACGCTGTATATCAGAAAACAACGGAAAGAAACATCAATAACCAAAAAAAGAAAAAATATTTAATGATGTGAATCATATGCGTCTACATAAATGGAAGACAAAGACATTGACGAGTATGTAAAAAGAGAAATTTTTTAGTATTCCATATTCCCACACTGTAAGCAAGCTATCACCCCTGCCTACACATGACTACAACGGTTTCTAAATGATGTTCCGCGGAATTCCCAGGTTCCGTGAAAGAGTGACAGGGGTTCCCCGAGTTGGGGCGTTTGTGTTCTATACAAAATAGTGTCCGACCGAAACTGGTTTTTACGACTGAAACCGAAACCGAAACCGAATTTCGGCAACGGTCTCAGTTTCGGCCGAAACTGAAACCGAAACGAGCTATAAATATTTAGAAGCAGTGCGTAAAAGGAATCAGTTTTTTATTAAGAAGAATTTTGTATTGTTCGAGTATTCGGTGTTGAAGGCCTTACCTGTCTGACCTATATCAACTTAATCGCAACCCTTACAATACAATTTTACAAAGTTTATAGGCAATAACCCTGGGATCAATGTTGTTATTGTTTCATCTTGATACCTCGAGCAGTTTGGAAGTTATGAGGATGCTAGCTAATATCACAGTCTAAGCAAATGCAAAAGGTTCATGGAGTTGCGAGAACACCCAGTTGTTATAATATTCAATTCATATTTGTTTGTTGAGTAAATACCGTTCGTAATTAACAATTCATTATCATCATCATCATCATAGTTCTAAGACTGGTTGGACACGCACCTCCACTCCTTCCTATCATAAGATAATCTTCGCATTTCCCTAAAATTAGAACATCTCCCATCCTTAACTATTTGTGAACAGTAATCTAATCTAGGTCTACCTCTACCTCTCCTAACTCCCGTTTCTGCCTCTAATATGTCTCTGACTAGACCTTCATACCTGACAAGGTGTCGTACCAACCTATCTCGCCAATTTCTTATTGACTTCCATAGAGTCCTCTGTTCTCCTATTCTTTCTAATACCTCCTCATTTCTAACCTTCTCTATCCACAGTATCCTCATCATTTACCTGTAACACCACAGTTCGAACGTTTTTAACCTTTTCCGCCGCGCCCACCGTCCACTTTTTTATTGTTTTTTACATACTTTTTCTTCCCTTGCATACCAATATTTCTGTTTTACTTTTATTTATTTTCATACAATACTCAATACCGTCTCCATTTTATTTAAAAGTATTAGCTCTTCCTTATTAGATGCTAATACTGCTATATCATCTGCAAATCTAAGCATGCTAATCTTTTGCCCCTGCACATCTATCCCTACAGTTGTACTGTCTTTAATGACGATCGCGTCGTCGATGTATAGATTAAAAAGTAGGGGGTATAACTTATTTGAATTTTAAAGAGATGGAAGAAATAGGCCTGGGTCCTAGACAAAATATGGGAAATCCCGCATAATTATAACCAGACATATTAGAAAGAGGAGACTGGTAAATATTAATTAAAAAATTAAAAATTACCACAAATAATTTTATTTGAGCGGACACGTGTTTCGCCCACTTCATACGTGGGCATTATCAACGCGAGACAGTCTCGTTTAAGTTTCACTCTTCTATCTCTGCAACTCATCCCTCATCTCTTCTTTTTCTATCGTTTTCTCTATTACTACCCGTAACGTTAGAATATGCCCCCTCGCGTACGTCTATTTCTTCTAAACCCAAATTGATCTTCCCCTAATAGTTCTTCCACCCTTTTCTGTACAATTCTGGTTAAGATTTTTGACGCATGGGAAGTTAAGCTAATTGTTCGAAATATCTCGCACCTATCCGCGCCTCTATTTTTAGTTACTAGTACGTTCTGTTTATAATCCTCCTGGATTTTCTCCTCCTCGCAAATGGGACTAACCAGCTTAAACGTACTATCTCTAACCTCTTGTCCTGCATGTTTTAGAATTCCTCCCTGTATCCCATCTACCCCTGGCGCCTTATTATTCTTTAAGTTTTTTAATGCTACATCAAACTCTTCTCTCATTATCTAGCTTACCTATCTGCACACTATCATCCTTCTCTAATATATCTCCTAACTCATGGCCTTCATATAGGTTCTCTAAATATTATACCCACCTATCTGCCTTTTCCTCATTTTATATCAAAATGACCCCTATCTCGTTTCTTATATAATTACTACTGTACCCTGCATCTCTAAAAGTCATTTTAATTATATTATAAGCCTCATGCGTTTTACCTATTTCAAACTTTTCCTCTACTTTTTTACACCTCATATCAATCCACTGTTCCTTAGCTGCCCTACACTTCCTAATTATTTCCCACTTTATCACCTTATATTTTTTTTGTCCTTCATCTGTCCTCTTTTTATATTTCCGCCTACAATCTCATTTGTTATCCAGGGTTTCCTACATTCGTTTTGTTTAAGACCTAATATATCCGTAACTGTTGACTTTAACATTAATAAACTAACGGATACTTATACTATATTGACAAATAAATAAAAAAACCTTTATCATTTCCTTGAAGGAATAAGAATGTTGGATCAGCCCTACATGACAGATTTAATAGAAGCCAATTCAATGGGTCATGAACCGAATATGATAGACATTTATAGCGCTTCATGGGGCCCTACGGATGATGGTAAAACAGTGGATGGGCCGAGAAATGCAACCATGAGAGCCATAGTACGAGGAGTAAACGAAGTAAGTACAGCCATAAGAAAAATAAGCATTTTATGCTGTGATCATTTATTTAGTATTAAAGCAGCTAGGCTAACGGGCTGGATTAGCCATCGCAAAGCTTAAAAGAATATTATTTCAAGGATGTTTGGGAGGTACAATCGGAGACAAGAGTACATAAAATTAGAAATTCGTGATTAATTAAGTTATGCAGCATATCATGAAGTAAATAAATACTATCTATATTAAAAAAAAAAGTATACGGTTTGAGAGAAAATTTGGAATTTGACCATAAACTTTGAATAAAATAAAAAATAACGAATAATATG